AAAATTACTGCAATATATGAGAAACTATTACAGATGGCAGAATATTTTTTTTGCAGCATAAAGCTATATGTTTGGAGCACACAACATAGGAAGCAGATTCTGATTTCTCTTGATGCAAGTTTTTTAAACTAGTCTTTTGTGTGACCACACAATGGCCACATTCAGAGCTGTAAAGTTTAGTGTACTGCAAAGTAAGAAATAATGACCCAATCAAAAAAGTGCTTTCCTATGTTGTATGTCTTATGCTTGCCTGCTGCCAATCCCTATGTCATTTATAAATTTTTGACAGGTGGTTATTTTTCTATTGCGGTAAGAACAATAGAAATTGTTATCTTGATTATTTAACTAATCAAGCTACAGAAAAAATAACTACATCTTTAGAATCAGGAGAACAAACTAAGTAAGCATGCCAACTTTTATCACATTTGATTAAAAAATAAATGAGAGAGCTCTAGCCTGCTAAAAAGCGTGCTAAGACCCATGTCCCCCCTTAAAACGGCAGGGTGCTCGTTCGCCGAGGCCCGTGGCATAAGCTGCATGAGGCACTGGCTCCAAAGTTTCGTCGTTCTCGCAACCCCATTCCTCCAAATCGCTCTCACCATGTACTTCCTTCACAATTCCCAAATCTGTGCATGGTTCCGCAGTGCCAGCATCATCATCGGCCGTAATTAAACCATCGCAACAGATTTCCCACCTGTTCTCCCAGGTCAGAGTTGACGACGCACTGCCACAAATCGCCGCCGTAGCTCGGAAGCTTCAGGCTCGGCATCGGGCCCGACGTCGACGAAGTCGGCCTTGCGAAAACAGTTTCGCGCGCATGTAGTCGTCACCGCCGCCCACAAAATATTCACCATCTCCAAAGCTGAATACCGGTACACCTGAAGTGGCCAAGTTGGCTGCCAGGTGGTCAAAAGCTATGAGCAGGCGCTCCGCAACGCGGCATCTAACTCACGGATTACGCTCAAGCTAAGGGGACACATTTTTGACGTTTTGTTGAGCCGCAGGAAAAAGCGTGCTAGTCCCCCCATCGGCTATCATGACCACACACGCACACCAAGAGCGAGCAAGATGCGCACACGCGACACACATGCCAGAACACGTGGAACAGCTCGGGGCCCGTTTCCAGTAAGAAAACGAAACTAATTCGAGCCAGCGTGGCGGGCGTCGCGGAGCGGTGGAGACGTGCAAAGGGGTTTCGATCAAGAGAGGAGAGCAGACTTGCAAGAGAAGGGCAAGAAGTTACGATAAAGAGAGGGTAGGATGCGGCGGGAGGGGGATCTTAAAAACCAAAACACACGAGGAGGAGGCGGGTTGGGTAGTAGCTTGAAAGGTTCGCGAAACTTGCACGTAAAAAAACTTGGAAAGGGTGCCTGTGCGCGCAGAAGTCAAAGCATGACCGCCTGGATCAGGTGCGCACGGCGGTGCTTGAAGAATCGGCTGCCGCGGTCAAAAAATCGTTCTGTTGCGCCAGCGGGTTTGCGTGGCCTCATGAACTTCGATATTTCGCGATTCGTTTCACGCAAATTAACAGCCGTTTTCGCGCTTCCCCACGTGCACGGAAGGCATGCTGAGCCGATTGCGAAGTGAGCGAAAACAAGTCCTAATTACAAATCGAATCGCGAGTTATCAGAGTCGTTGGGGTAGCTTACGCGCGTGCATTAGACGTAGAATATCGGATACAGTCGGTGGTCGATGATGTTGGCAAATGGTCTGGTCACTCCAGGCCGGCGATGCCAACGACAATACCAGCTATCAAAAACAGGGTAGATGGCCGACCAGTCTCCGAAAAATCGGTGGCAGTGTGAAAACGCGGGCCTCGTCTGGCGATACGGGGTGCTCAGAGTATTGCAGGAACAAAGGACAGAGGGGTGCGTAACAAAAAGCAGTCGGCGCATGGAGGAAGAATACACTTTCCTTTCTCCATAGGTTGGGGAGAGCGGCAACTAGAGGGTCACGGAGGCAGGGTTGGCATTTAACAATAAGAATGTATGGGCACCTTGCCAATGCCTGATTGGTGGTTGAAATTGGTTTCCCGGGAAGTCGTCAGACCGCTGACTCCATTCGCTGTAACCGATCAGGGGCGCTCGGAGACGTTCGTTGCAGGTGCGATTTTGTGCCATTGAACCAATGTATATTTTCATAGTCACGCGGATATTGTTCGTTTTAAGCGAAAGTTCGTTTTAAGTGGGGCCGTTATATGTGGGCTCGACTGTACATATTAGAAATGGTTGAATAGTGAAATTTGGGTGCAAAGCAAATTGAAATGTTTAAGAGTGAGTGCAAATCAAATAAAATATTTCTCAAATATTTATAGAATATTTTTCAATACTTCAAAGCCAAATTGCAGAAGAAAATGTCAGAGAGGATTCCAAAGCAAATTCTCGTAAGATAGCAATATGAATGTGTTTTTTTTTTTTTTGGGGCGGTGCGTTGAAGGGCTGGTGTTTTACAGTTGTCTTATCGAGAATGAGGCAAGGCAGAGGCCAAATTGTACCGTAAAATGCCGAGCAAGTGCTCCACCCCACTAAGTACCCCCTTCCTTTTTTCCGGAGATCTGAAATAAGCACCGAGTAAATTCCGATGACTGGTTTGATAGAAGCAAGCGCTCCCCTCCTGAAAATCTCGTATTTGACTGTCCTTCTTCAAAGGGGGGGGGGGCAGCTTACTTGACATTTTACCGTACATGATTTGGTGCAAGCTAAAGTTTTACTGACAACACGTTACCTGTGAAAGGCAAAGATCCTGTTTCTTTAGCCTCTCCTCCTCCTTAAACTTCCATTGAAACCCAAATGATGTTGTGGACAAGGGTACACTCTTTTTGAGTCCAGAGTTCCTAGCCTGGCTTGTAGATGTTAATATTTAAGAACGTCTGAAACTATGGGGGCTAAAAACCTTTGACATCTGATTTTTCGAACTTCCTGCCCAACATATCAGATACAGGGACAAAACAGCAATTAACTGAGTCCCCACCTCTGCCACATCTATCATCGCCGTGTTCGAACTAGCATTTTCTTAATTCATCACATTTATGACTGTAGCAGAGCCTGAAAAAGAGTTTTGCGATGATATGAGTGTGTGATGGGGTGAAGCATAACAAAACTTGCAGAGAGGCCACTATCAATCTAACGTTGACTGGGAAGTTTGTCTGGGAAGCTTGAATAGTGAATCGAATAGCAAACAACATTTAAAAATTATTCCAAATTTATCACTCTGTAAAATGTGTACTTATGTTTATTTACCCACGTTTATATACAAATACACAACATGCAGATTCACGAACCATAAGCACCAACAGATGGCTTGCTTTCATTCTCGCACAAAATATTTCCTGCGGTCCTTTAAGGGCTTGAATTCCTGAACTGCTGCCATGTGTCTTGGTCCTCAGGCATTCTCAAGTAGTCTTATAACCGCCCTTCACCTGAGGGACCACTAACTTGTTAAAAGAAACATGTCGAAAAATTAGGATGGATTGATAAAAATATTCGCATTCCCCTACTACACATTAGTTCACATTTAATTCCTTTTGTAAAGGTGCTTTCGCTGCAGTGCAGGAACGCTATAGCATGAACATTCACGTTCATGAGAAATCCGCGCTATCGCAAAATGCAAAACGTTTTATGAACATAATCACTCTCACATCGATTCATAGTTTCTTAAATTTAAAAGGTTGTTATGCAGGTTTATGTGCTCTAAGCAGAGTAAACTTTAAAATGTAACATGTTTAACAGGTTATCACTTTCATTCTTCAGAAAGTAGAATGCTGCTACTATGTCTAGTTGCTTCCACTTCCCTTTGTACCTTAGGGAATCACATTTATTCATGCCTTGTTTGAATTTTTAAAAAATTTTGTGCAGGTTAGTTGGCTTGTGACCGATATGCTTTTTTTTGTTTATGATAAAAAAATCTGCATGCATGACGATAACACGGAAAAAAGAACCCTCTAACTTTCGCTATAACATAAATAGTGCTGCTCTCACGAATGTACAGAGACATAAATATCTAGGCTTAACAATAACATCAGATCTAAGGTGGGACGCTCACATTGATAATGTTACTTCTTCTGCTATGCAAAAACTATTTTTTATCCGCAGATCGCTCCATCTGGCACCCACCTCGACGAAACTACTAGCCTACAAAACATTCATTAGGCCAATCCTTGAATATGGAAATACTGTATGGTTTCCTCATACCGTGACTAACATAAAAAAAAATAGAAAAGGTACAAAGGAAGGCCATAAGATTCATACATAACAAATTTAAACTGGCTGACTCACCTACTACCCTTCTAGCTGTTTCTGGGCTTCCCACGCTCGAAACATGGGCGAAGCAGGCACGTTTGAAATTTCTTTATCAACTCCTACATAATTATTTCAAAATAGATGTCTCAAACTACGTTGAATATTCCCAAACACGAGCTACCCGGCACCAACATACAAATATCCTATTAGAATATAAATGTAACAATGATGCGTTTAAATACTCCTTTTTTCCAGTTGCCATCCACGAATGGAATTTGTTATCCCCTTTCACCACTAATGCCCAGTCATTGTGCGATTTCTTATCAAGAATTGAAAATAACGTCTTTTAGCGTCCTTGATGTCTGCCTTTCTGTGACATGCAAACCAGCATTCACTTGTATTTGGTGTGTATGGTGTGCATAAGTGCTGATTGTATGCTTCGAGGTTGCTGATTTGTATTTTTACACATTATTTGCCAATTTACGATCCTGAAAGTGTTAAGTGCTCTTTGTAACTGTATACTGTGGTGCCCACCTGCTATGGTCTCTTTGGAGACTGGCAGTATTGTGAATAAATATGTGATACCTACTAGTTGAATTCGTTTTGAAATGATTCAACCTAATCACTATTTGATTCGAATTCACTTTGAACCAAAACTTTACTCATGCTTTTTGTATGCCAGGAGGTGTTTAGAAACGTACCTTGTGTTTTCTCACACAATGGGTCAAAAATGCCCTTTTGCAATGTTTTCGTACAATTCAGGGTTCCGAAATCAAGGAGTTTGCGAGCCAGCACTTCCCGCTCATCTCACAGATTCTGGGCATGGTCCCTCGGCAGATGCTGCTCATCTTCAAGACCAACGACCTGCTGAGGGGCATCGAGAGCAGCCTAGGTCAGTGCTTTGCATTACTCTGTTAGCTTCAACAGTAGTACAGTAGAACCTCGTTATAACAAAGCAAGATATGAAAACTAATGGATATAATAAAGCAATTAATTCCCTTTGAAATTCCCTTATACGCCCATTATGTGGGCATATATGGGAATTTAACCAAACAAAAATTTCCTCACAATAGATATAACGAACCATACTTAGTCCACAACGAGCATGTGCTGATCATTTTGGTATACATCAATGCAATACAGTCGACGACCGATATTTCGGACGCCTAATTTTTCGGACATGCGCGATAAATCAGACATTTACTTGGCACAAGGACATACCCTATAAACTATGTATTTTGCAGCTTGAAATTTCGGACACTTAAGGACGGGCTGTTTGATAATTCGGTTTTTCCAAGCGTCAGTCGAGCCGACCGCCATCATTTTTCGCGCCGCCGCGATGTTGCTTGTTTACTTTTTCATCCAGTAGCCTCGAACCAGTGCTGGCCGCGCGCGCAGCCTCCGCTAGGGTGGCTACCTCGAACTGCTGGATCGAGACTATGTCCGCATCAGCGTCGCTGCCGAACAATATTTCTTTCTTCTCTGCTGTGACCGTTGGATGGACAGGACCGAATCGACTGACTGTTCGCCTGTATGTGTTCCATGTGTGTTGCCTAGCTACAAGCGCTGATTCAGAATGGATAAGAGGTCGCCGATGTCGTCGGCCTCGAGAGCTCCGATGAAGCGCGGAAAGTATGTCACCATGTCGATGGCGAAAAAAGCTGCCATCATCAAGTTCGCTGACAGTGGGCGATCGCGGGCAGACGAAAAAAGCTGCCATCATCAAGTTCGCTGACAGTGGGCGATCGCGGGCAGACGTTGCAAAAGAGTTCCATATTTCTAAACAGACTTTTTCGGACTACATCAAAATAAGCAGAAGATTTTGGAGGTAGCGGAAAAGTCTACTGGATGTCATCAGAAAAATGTCACCCAAAGCACCTACCCTAAGCTCGAGGAGGCCCTTCTCGTTTGGCTGAAGTCGACAGTGGCCAGCAATGTTCCCGTCTCCGGGATCCTCCTGAAACAGAAAGCTGAGATGATGGCGCTTCAAAGAACATTGAAGGATTTAGGCTCAGTGATGGCTGGCTAAGAAACTTCAAGAAGCGCTTTGATCTCAGTTTTAAAAACTGTGCGGTGAAAGTGCAGCTGTTGACCTCAGCGTTGTTGTGAATTACCGCTCTGAAAAGCTGCAGTCCCTTTTACAAAAGTACTCGCCAGATGATACTTTCAACTGTGACGAGACCGGGCTTTTTTTCAAGCTGATGCCAGAAAAGACACTTGCCTTTGCTGGCGACTCTTGCCATGGTGGCAAACACAGTAAGGAGCGAGTTACTGTACTGATCGGTAGCAACATGTCGGGCACAGAAAAACTGCCGATGCTCGTCATCGGTAAGTCGAAAGCTCCGAGGTGCTTCAAAGTCGTGAAGTCTCTGCCTGTTTTGTACGAGGCCAACAAAAAGGCCTGGGTAACTCAGCAGCTTTTTGAAAGCTATGTGAGAAGACTGGACCGCAAATTTGATTTAGAAGGCCGCAAAATTTTGTTGTTTGTCCACAACTGCGCTGCACACGGGCACATTACCAATTTGAAGGCTGTGCGCGTCGAGTTCTTGCCATCGAACACGACAAGTGTCCTACAACCGATGGACCAGGGTGTCATATGCACTCTCAAAGTGAACTATCGATCACGCTTGCTTTCGCGTGCGGTGGTGTGCCTCAACAGCGGAAAAGCGTACTTGGTCGATTTGCTTGGGGCACTTAGCATGCTCGCCGATGCGTGGAAGTCGATGGCAGTGACAATGCTGCGCAACTGTTTCCGCCACGTGGGATTTGTGTTGAATGGCGAGTCGGCCGCCGTGGACGAGGACAGCGTTGTCGACCACGTGTTGGGAAGCGAGCAGCTTCTCGACGACCTTTGCACTGCGGGCATCGATATTCCATCAGATGTCTCGTTTTCCAAGTTTGCGTGTGTGAACAACGATTTGGAACTGTGCGCTGGCCTCACGGATGAGGAAATCATTCGGCAAGTGCTTGAGGAGTCCGAGAGTGACGATGACGACGACTTACCTGCAACAGCACAGCCGACGCAAGCCGAGCTGATGCAAGCGATGGCAATCCCTTTCAGTCAGCATACAGCGACACGGCAACTCTAGCCAAAATGCGGGCGGACGTGCTCGCACGAAAGTGAAGCATGGTCCAGAAGAGGATCGATCACTTTTTCCGCCCTCCATCTCAATAGTAACCAATAAAATGAGCAATTTTGGGGCACATTTGCTTTTTCGGACTGCCCGATTTTTCGGACATTTTCGTGGTCTCTTGAGGGTCCGAAAAATTGGTCGTCGACTGTATCGTATAGTGCGCGATGGTTATGTCTCATCATGGCTGTGGTTATTCAAAACTCACGCCTCGCGCTCGCCGGGAGCCACCTGCCAACATGTGCGTGGGTGTGAGTCTCTCTGCCTCCCCTTTCAAGGAACAACTGGACTTGCCTGTGCTGGCCTCCCCTCTCCTGTAGACCTCGTTGACTCGCCCGCGCATCTGACCTCCTTCTCCCCTTCAACTTCGCGCTGAGACAGCGAAGGTTTAAACTTTGTTTCATGTTGTTCACTGTGAAAGAGCAATACCACGCCTATTAGTTTCTGCCGCCAGACGCATGATAGACAACAGCAGCAGCAAATGTATATGCCGAATTATAACAATCGAGCAGAAGTCAGCAATGTTGAAAGCGGTTGAGTCAGGTGTCAAGAAAAAAAAAAGTAGTCGAAGATTTCGGTGATGTCGCCGGTGGGGGACACAACGGGCGACCTAGCCCAGATGTCGTCCTTTACGCTGGCGTTGTGTCTAACTGCGACACTTGCTGCGCCTACTTTGGTGGTGATGCGATGACAAAGAAAGGGTTGTCAGATGCGCAAATTGTGCACGCGGTGACGGGGTTGCATGACGACAGTAACGAAAGTTTCGACATCCCGGAGCCTAATGTTGGTGAATACAGCGTACCAATGTCTGCGTAAGCACTGGATGCGACAGAACTGCTGCGCCACTTTTTCGGTGCTTACGATGACAATGAGAATAGACTCAGAATAGCTGCTGAAGCTGACAAAGCAGTGATCCACATGAAGAAGAGCCGGTAGAAGTCTATTAAGGACAATTTTTTTTTAATGATCTGTCAGCTTGTGTGCCTAATTTCGTGAAAATAAAGTGCATTGTTTTTGTTATTTTGCTAGTTTCTTGCCTTCCAACAGTCGTTTTTCTCTGCGCGGTGGGCTGCAGTGATATTCGGCAAGTGAGTACATTCTCTCTGGCTGGCTAATTGTTGGTAGAAATGAATACAGTCGAACCCCACTACAACGAAACTGACGGGGTGCAGAAAAAATTTCGTTGAAGTGAAAATTTCGTTGTAGTGAAATAAAAAAAATATAGCCGATCTGAGCTAGCAAAAAAACGAACGTTTATTCTCAAAATTGAAAAATGTCTGCTGCTTCCTACTCTCTTTCAGTATAGCAAGGCCATCGTGAAAAGCATGCTGAAACAACGCTTAAGACTGCCTTTGTGAACAAACGAAACAGTTGCATTAACACGTTAACACCAGCAGGTGTCCACCGCCAGAAGTATCCGACAATGCCGAGATGGGGGCAAGGTATCGTAGAGCGGCGATTTTCGCATTATTCTATGCCATTTTTATCATCCATCACTCGCGGCTAGCTGATTTTGTTGATAATGAGGATGAACAGCTGCTCTAATTATTTACCACACTGGCCAAGTGCGAACATAATGGTAAGCACCGGAACCGGGAAAGGCATCATTCCGCGGTTTTACCCAGCAGCTGCATGACAGAAACCATAAACTGAGTGACTGAGCTTCAGCTTCGGATCATCTGCAGCACAAAAGCAAGCCAGTGGCAAAAGCAGGGCAGTCTTAATGCCATCACTATCGAGCAATGGCGGCGCCTATGCTTGCTGAAGTGCGGCCGTATAGCAGCGGTTTCTGGTGGTGCCAACGCATGTTTTAGACTTCGTTGACACATTTTTAGAAGCTCTGAAAATGCATTGAAGTGTTAAAGATTCGGTTTACTGCATGGCAATAAGTATCTGAGCCTGGAATCACATTGTAAAATTTTGTTAAAGCGGGACAATCGAGCAAAAAGTGTTTGCTGTGGGGACAATATTTATGCGTTGACTCCTATGGACGGCTGACGGGGAATCGTCAACTTTTCATTGCAGCGGAAATTTCATTGAAGAAGCATTCGTTGCAGTGGAGTTTGACTGTATTGACTATAATGAGGTAATGGTTATAACCAAGTAATTATGACTCCCCCTTCAACTTCGTTATAATGAGGTTTCACTGTACAGCTAGTGAGTTCCCTAGAGCCAGTGTTTATCCAGTGAGCATGGAGAGGGTAATCTAACTCACGAAACACAAGAAAAGCTAAAAAACTTCGAGTAAATATCCAAAAAGGATAGTCCAAAGGTATATAAAAAGTCTTGTTGAGGTGTTATTCAAGCCTAAGCAGCTTGAAAACCTCCTGTAGCTGTGCTAATGCCATGTTATTATACTGCTAGAAAGCTTCTATCAAGAATTCTAAAATAAAGTCTTTCTAGATTTTTTGAAGAATCTTTGTAAACATTTACTATATTTTTATTATAAGAAGCCTAGTAAACTTCTTGGCAGAATTCTAAAAATACTTTTGCTAGATCTTTTAACACCTTTTTTAGACATTTATTTTTCATGCAAACAAACTTGTTGAGCGTGTCCCGTGGTTGATTTGTTGCATCATGTCAGCATTTTGCAATCGATGCATTTAGATGTTTACTGTTGAGAGTGACAAGCACGGACAGCAGCATAATTTGGCATCAAATTGATTGCTGGCACTTTTTTAACCAGCAAAATTGGTGCCTATTTGTTGAAAGAATGAATTATTGACGGCCGTATATCGTTACGATAATTTGTTTTACTTAG